ATTCTTCCCCTCCTGCTATCTTCTTTTTTTTTTCTTAACATATATTGCATTATTTGTTTCAGAGGTACAGATCTGTGATTCAACAGTCTTGCACAGTTCACAGCACTCACCATCCATTGCCTTTTCAGTGCAGAGTATTGTATTCACAGAGCTCAGACAAAAGAGAACATGAATTTGTGAATGTGTACTCTTCATCAAGGGCACAAGCCTTATAAACACATTCCTCTATCCCACATCCATTCCCCTCTTCTGACACACACGTTATTCACCCTCTACTTTTCCCATATGCATCAGGATCTGGAACAACATAGCGGTAGCGTGGGCTGGACAGTGTGAGGAGACCCTGTGTCAAGAACAGTTACATGCCCCTTGCCTGCCTTGGAAGAAAGAGGACTTATTTCTCTCAAGAAAACTTGCCACATTCAAACAAAAAGAAGTAAGAATAGGAAGTAATCCTTACTCCTTAGAGGCTCTCATCCATTAATATTTTAAAAAGCAAGACCTTGTGCTTATTGAACAGAACCCTCAGTTACGGGTTAAAACTTGTGGGTTCCAGCAGTCCGAAGTGCTGAAGTTGCCATCAAGGAATCAGCAGCTGGGTATCAGGGCTCCCCAGTCATCTTCCCCCCGGGGAACTGGCTGTTTCCATACTCATCCCGGTCAGGCCTGCTGGTAAGATCCCCAATCTCAGGGTGGAGGAAGCCCTGAGCCTTCCCAGAAGACCACAGAGGAAAGGAAAACGCTAAAAATCTTGCCAACTTGGATTGTAATTTCAGTACTTTTATGACAAATTCTTGTAATGTTTACTCATTTTCCTATTTTTTTTCCCAGAAAAGGGTATATCTCTGCCTCCCAGGGTTTTGCAAGTAACGCTGACACATTTTTGCCGCAGCTGTCATTGAACAATGCTTCCTTTTCTCCTAGTTTTCATCATGAAGTTAGAATTCATTGAAGTAGGACATGTGAAGTATTGTTTTACTGTGGTTTTGAGACCATATTGAAGCAGCGGCAATAAAGGAAATGGGTGGGGAATTGCTATTAACTCTGTTGGACTTGACTGTTCCCAAATTGAACACATTATCTTTCTAGAAAGTTACTCTGAGCTCCCTAAATACGAAATTCCTTTCTTTTTGCTCTCTCCAACTTTATGTCCTCTCTTTTTAACTAATCTGAAACGTGAATTATTTTTCCTGCTAAATGGCATAGAGTAATTATGGAACAGTGCTTTGCAAATAATAGGTAGTCAATAAGTGTTCCAGAATGAAAGAAAATCAATTGTAGTTTTAACTATCATGCCTAGGAATGATGAATTCCAACAAATCATTATTTTCCTACCCTTTAAAATAATGTTTACTTCTTTCTAATGCATATTCTTTGTAGTAAATTATATATGGTATAAATGAGAAAATAAAAGATCACTCAAAATTCCCTCATTACAATGATAATATTTTTTTTAAAGATTTATTTATTTATTTTACAGGGGGCATGGAGGGGCAGATGGGGAGAATCCCAAGCAGACTTCCTGCAGAGTGCAGAGCCCAATGTGGGGCTCGATCCCAAGACCACAGCCCAAGCCAAACCGAGAGTTGGGTGCCCAACCAAGTGAGCCACCCAGGGCCCCTACAATGATAATATTTTGATGTGTATTTTCTTTTGGCATATATATATTTACATATTTATATATGTATTATATTTATACATTTAACTTTCTATTATATAGTCAGTATTTTCCAACTTATTAAGGGCATGATTTTTAATAGAAATGTCATATATGATTCTATCACAATATGTTTAACTATTACCCTTTTGTTAGTCAACAAGATTCTTTATAATATTTCAATATTATAAATACTGAGATGAGGATCCTGTGACCATTCTGATAAAAAAATCTGTTTTTTAGTTCTGAGTGTTTCCTTAGGGTTGATTTCTGGAATTGAAATCACTAGGTAAAGGTGTACTGGTATGTTAAGACATTTTTATTATGGACAATTTAAAGCATAAGGAAAAGGGATAGAATGGCAATGAGAACCCCATGCACCCATTACTCAGCTTCAACAATAATCAGTTTATGGTCAGTCTTGCTTCTCCACTACCACTACCCACACTCCCTTTCCCCTCGGGGGTTATTCTGAAGCAGATAACAGGCATCTGGCCATTTGGTCCCAGAACTCACCCTTGACTTTTTCCCCTGGTCCCCCACATCCAACTATCGGCACATCCCACTGCTTTTATTTCCCAAATATGCTTTGTGCCCACTCCTCTTCATCTCTGTTGGCATCACTCCAGTTCAGGGCACTACTCTCTCTCACCTAGACCACTCCAATAATCTCCTGATTGGTTTCCCTGCTTCTACTCTTGCCCATTTATCCTAAGGTAAAGATCTAATACTTCTAATAACTATTTTAAGACTAATTCCTGTAACAACGCATAATAAATTTATCTAATTCTTTAAATTTTTATGTTGAACATGTTCTTTTTTCAAAGGGTTGCAAAAAGTGTTCAGCCTGTTTCAAAGAGATCATTCTAGGTGGAACACCAACAGGTAATCTCTTGATTGAGGAGGGGAGGGAGAGATATAGGTATAGATACAGGTATATTTGGGAATATATAGATGTAATTATAATTATATGTAGATTTTGAAAACAGATATATAGTTAAAATCAGTCACTAAGTGATATCTAAAATTGGTATATCTGGACATCTTCTAAAAAGTCATATATATATATATATATATATTGATTTCTGTGGTTGAGGCATAGTTCTGCCTGGAAAGAGGAGGTTAAATTAAATGAATTTTAATTAAAGTTTCTTCTAGCCATTAAATTCTTTGAGTATATGACATTTTTTTTTGTAAAGTAGGATCCACACCTAGCATGGAGCCCAATGCGGGGCCTTAACTCATGGCCCTGAGATTAGGACTTGAGCCTGAGATCAAGAGTCGGACATTTAACTGACTGACCACCCAGGTGCCCCTATGACATTTCTTGATGTGATATAAACATCCAGGTAAAAATTGAACATAAAGAAGTATACTGCTTTTGAAGACATGACAAAGATGAGCTATCAGGTAAAAGTCAAGAAGAGTTTAAGTAAATGATGGTGATGCTTACCTACTTATTAAATACAATATGTCCATTTATGTCTTGTCTGTCCCGCAGTTACTGAAGCCACTGTTGTCATGGAAAGTGTAAGGGGACTGGGATATGGTAATTTATAACAGTCTGGAAATTTGATTGTGCTGAGTCCTCAACTAGAAGATCAAGTTTCTTTTTCTTTCTTCCTCCCTCCCTCTCCCCCTCCCCCTTCTTTCCTTCCTTCCTTCCTTCCTTCCTTCCTTCCTTCCTTCCTTCCTTCCTTCCTTCCTTCCTTCCATCCATCCCC